AGGGGGCAGCCCTCCCACCGCTCGGAGGGGCCCTGGGAGGCCTCGACGGGTGCTGGGCTTGTGGGCCCCTCCTTGGGCAGAGGGCTGGCACCCGAGGAGCAGACGGCTCCCCACACCCAGGGCAGATGCCGGCACCCCATCCTCGGGGACTCACTCGACCAGGTCCTCAGGCCCACGCGACCGCCCGCTCCTGTCCCAGCCCCGAGCAGCCGGTGGAGCGGCCGGGGACCTGCCCCCGGGCCCCACCCTGCCCCACCCGCCCACCCGGCCAGCTCAGGTCTCCTTCGCCTGCGTGTCTGCATCTCCAGCGCCAGACACCTGCGGAGCCCGGGGGGAGGGACCAGGCGTCCTGACGCGCAAACCCCCCCCCCCGCCCCGTCACGGTTTTACGACTGTTTGCTTTACATCACTGGAGGTTAGAACTGGAGCTACCGTGCAAAAGTGCAATGAGTGGAATGTTCATTTCTCATTTTATATGAATTTTAAAAATACTTTCTGAAATTTTCCAAAATAGCAATGGGAAAGAACACGCAAGACACCCTGCTTGCCCTGGGTGGGCCCCAGCAGCCTGCCCCCCAGCTCCTGTCTGTACCCCGGAGGCCGATGGCCGCCCCCCGAGCCTCACGGTCCTGGGCGGGCGCAGGCAGCCGGGGGCGAGGGAGCAGAGACCAGGGCCGGCCCCAGCGTGTGGTTCTCGCTCGCAGGGGCTGAGAGACGGCTGTGTTCTCCCCGGTGCTCCGGGCAGGCCCGGCCCCGCAACACCGAGGGGCTCAGTGCAGGGCCGTGTCCTCAGGAGCCCCGGCCGCCACCAGCAGAACAAACAGGACATTCATTCCTGGAGCCCGCGTCCACCCCAGCTCTGCTCGGAGGCGCTCACACCCTGGGTCCCGCCGGGCCTCCCGGGGCATGTGGGCGCCCGGGGTCAGACCCCCAGGGTCGACTGCCCGGCCGTCCCTCGCCCCGCTGCAGGGTCGGGAGAGCAAACTCCCTGGGGGGCCTGCCGGCCCTTCCCCTGGAGCAGCAGCCGTGACCCCTGAGGAGGTCATGCCAGACGGCGTGTCGGCGAGAGGTCGTGCAGCTGCGCCGGCGGCTGCTGTTTCTAAGGCGCTTGCAGGGGTGCCCTCCGTCCCCGGCCCCGCCCAGCCGGACTGGGGGGGTCTCTGCAGACCCGAGTCAGGACGTGGGCGCCCCGGGCATTGGGGGGGGCGTCCTGACAAGTGGGCTCTCAGGGACCTCTCAGCCTCGGCGCGACAGGGCCCACCCCGAGGTAGCGGTGTACCCCTCCCTGGGCCCGTCGCGTGAACGCCGCGGCCCGGGGTCTGCCCATGTCCCACCGCAGAGTCCGCACGCGTGTCCCCGGGTGCATGCGTGGCCGCTGGTGATTCCGGGGCAGCAAATCTCTAAAACCACTTCCTGCGTCACGCGGAAGGAGGTCCTCGGGGTGCTGCTCCCCGCACGGCGCCGCGGGGGGCGGGGGTGGTTCTGCAAACGGGACGGCTCTTTGGCACGGGAAGCCCGTCCGTCCACCGGACCCGGACCCGTGAAGGAGCCGGAGGGGGGAGCGCGTCGGGGCTGGTCTGTCCGGAGGCGGCACCTGCTCCCCTTTCGCCCCAGCAGTGTCCCTGTCACCCGGCCGCGGGCCCAGCGGGGGGGGGGGGCACGGCCGGCCCCAGGTGGAGGAGTCAGCCCAGGGGCGCGCCCTGGGCCGTGCGTCCCACGCGCCAGCCGAGAGCCGCCGCCTCCGAACGTCGGGGGGGCCGCGGCAGTGGGCGCTGCCCGGCTGAGGGTGTCACGCCTCGGGCTGCTCCAGACACGCGTGGGCCGAGGGGCGTGAGGACGGCGTGCTGGCCCGCGGCAGCTGAGGCCGGGGCGGCAGCCCAGGGCTCCCGGACGGCCCTCCGTCCTCTGGGCGGGGTTCCGGCAGCTCCCAGGACGACTGTGCCAGAGTGGGGCAGCCCACAGTGGTCGTCCACTTCAGGGAGCTCCGGTCTGCACAGGGCGGCCGGGGCCCACTGTGTGTCCCTGCGGGGTCTCGGTCTCCTCGTCGTGAGGGCAGGACGGTGTCCACACAGGGTCCCCCCACCCCCCTGGCCCTGAGGCTCCGGGGCTCGTGCACCGCCTCCTGGCTGCCTCCCGCCGGGAGGAGCCCAGCGACATGGACGGAAACTCGGGGGGGTGGGGGGCGGGGCCGGCCCTTCTGTCTCCTCACGGGGCCCCGCCCGCTCAGCGGTTGCGTCCGGCCCGACCCGCGCTGGCCCGGCCGCCCTCGCAGCCTCCCGGCCAGGTTCCGTGGCTCAACACCCCCCCCCCCGGCTCGTTCCCGTTCACAGCGCGGTCTCAAGGGATAGCTCACCCCTCCTTTCAGGGTGAAGAAACTCCAAAAAGGGCTGCATATCTCACTAGTCAAAAATGTTTTCCAAATTTTGGCCTATGCAGCAGTGTGTGTTATCAGGGAAAAAACCATCAGTCACATTATCATCACCACCCCCAGCACCCCCAGCACCCCCAGCACCCCCAGCACCGTGGTGATGCTCACCATCGTCACCATTGTCACCACCACCTCCGTCACCACGGGCCGAGGGGGTGCTGTACACATTCCTACGTTCTCTGACCAGCTTTGCTGGCCACATGGTGTCCACTGGGCAGCGTGAGATTGTCGGTCCTTTCTGCACATCGATGACAAAACGCTGACACTTTCACCCTGATAACCTACCCGGAAAGGCCTGGTGTCACACCATGGGGTGGGACTGAGGAGCCGGTCCGTGCCCTGGAAAGTGAGTGAGTGGTGTCCCGGGCGGAGGTTTTGGACAAGGACGTGGGAGAGCCGTTCTGAACCTCGGACGGAGGGCGGGAGGGTGGGCGGGTGAGGGGCGTCCTCTGGGAATGCCAGCTGTGGGGGCTCGAGGGGGGGGCGGGGTGGGGGAGCTGCATCACAGTGCTTGGCAGCAAGGACTGTCCGTGGCGGCCGGCGGCTGCCCCCAGCGCTGGCTCCCTGCCCTCTGCTCGCCGGCCCCGATGCGACCCCCCCGGGCACCCCCCCACGTGTCATCTGCCCCGCCGCCTTCTCCGGGGCCCTCCCCCAGCGGCCCTTCTCCCTCCGCCCGTGGTCCCAGCCTCGTCTCCACGGCACAGCGGCCGCGGGGTCACGGGGGTGGGCCAAAGTCCCTCTTCTCTGAGCAGGGGAGGGCAGGGGGTCCGCAGGGGGCCTGCCGGGCGGGACGCGGCAGTGTGGCGACGGTCGTTGGCGCTGCCCTGGGGAGCACGTCGTGACGGGGGCCCAGAGGGTGGACCCCCCTCCCCGCCCCGCGCTCTCCCCGCGAGGAAGGCCGCCGCACTTAAATTCACGTGGCACTGGGTGTCGGCCACGTCGCAACAAAACAGGAGAAGCAGGAGAAAGCCACCGCAGCGGCCGGCCGAGGGGAGCGTCGTGGGGCCTGACCAGGACGCGACCCGGGCGTGTGAGGGAGGGCGTGGCGCCGCTTTCACCACAAGAGCCTTCGCGTGTCCCCTGGGGGTCCCCGTGGCATCGGGACTGGGTGGGACTCCTCTCTCACCAAACAGGGGCGTGTCCGGCACACGGCCTCCCAGAACCTCTGCCCGGGGCCGCGTGCGGCACCCGCAGGGAACCGGAGCCGGAACAGGCTCAGGACCTGCCCAAAGGCACCCGGCCCAATCCGGCAGAGCCGGGTTCCAGCTCCCTCCGGCCCAGCGCCTGCCCTGCCCTCCCCTCCCCGAGGGCCGACACTCTGCAGTCCAATGGCTGCAAAGCTCTGCTTTTAGCCGGAAAGAAGAGACAGAGGGCTGTTTCGATAGCAGATTTTATTTCACTCGCAGAGAAACGATTAATCAAGGTTCAGAGATACAAAGACGACCCAGTAAGTTTGGGGCCGCAACTGCTTCCTAAGCAACGGTGACGGGCACTGGAGCTGGTTTGTGGCTCGAAATTTCAGCTTGTCCTTCGCAGTTTAAATAAGAAGCCGCACAGCACGCCCTCCTGCGCAGTCAGGGGCCGCGGCACCTGGCACATGGTACGCACGGGGCCCGGGGGCAGAGGGCCTGGAGGGGCTTCTCTGCACGTGGCTCCCCGCCCCCCCTCGGGCGCCGTGGCGCCACGGCCCCTCCCTGGCGGCCGTCCAGCGCTGATAGTGGCCCCTGGCCGCCACCGGCCGTTTCTGTGGCTCACGGGGTGGGCGTCCGGTTCCTGACCTGCCCGCCCCCGGTCCCTGGTCCCCCGTCCCAGAGGACTTTCCCCGTGAGGCGTTCTCATGGCCCAGAGGCCGCAGGGCAGAGGAGGGGACGGCAGGGCCCCAGGACACAGCTCGTCCCGGCCGCGCCTTCTCTGAGGAGACCGTCCGGGGTCGTCCGGGTGACAGTTCCACCTTCCAGGGGCTCCAGGGGGCGAGGCCGCAGCAGAGGGAAGGTGGTGGGCCCGCGTCACGGCCTGAACACACGTGCTCTTCCGGCCGCCGGGGCCCTCCCGCGGCCCGGGCGGCGGGGCCAGCGTCGGTTCTGCTGCCTGGTCAGCAGGCGCCCACGTGTGGAGTGCAAAGCAGGGGACTGTCCCCCCGGCCCCCGGTCACTGGCCGGCTGCTGTGGCTGCAAACACGGCGGGAACGGGACCTCGGGACAGCAGAGCGAGCGGCCGAGTCCCGGGAACACGTGGCCCGGGCACGTGGTCACTGCGCTGGAGGCCGGGGGCGGGCGGCAGACCGGCAGGGACACAGGGGGGCCGCGAGGACGGCGGGGCTCCGTCAGCGGCCGGCAGGGGCTGGAGCGCCAGCACGCAGCCACGGGGCGGGAGCCTCGGGGCCCCGGCCCACCCCCCTCCACGCGGACACGCAGGGCCGGAGAGCGCGGACGTCCGAGGTCCAGGGGACCACACGGGGCCTGCGGTGCGTCCGCGACGCCAGCCCCGCCCTCTTCACAGATCAGAGCAGTCTGTTTGAGAACCTCGCTTCTACTACGTGAACTGACATTTAAAGTACAAAGTGCAAATACTATGGGTTTTGTTTCCGATTTTTAATTGGGTTTTGGTGAGGGGTTCTCCCACGCGTCCGGGGAGCCGCGGCCGGCCCGCGCTCATCCTTGGTTCCTCGGCTGCAGGGACACAGAAACAGGCGCCGTTAGTCGCCCGCCCGCCCCGTCTGGGAAGGCCGCGGCCGCCCCGTGCGGACGAGACGGGAGGACCCGCCGGGGACGAGGAGCAGGCCGCGCCTCGGGGTGGACGGGAGCGGCACAGAAGAGACACAGAAGAGAGGGCAGGACGTCGGGAGGAGAGGACGGACGAGCGGAAAGGCCGGGGTCCCGGCGGCGAGGGCTCGTGGGGACAATGACGACACCCTGGCGCCTCCTGACGCCGACACCGTCTGCCGCTCGGGGACCGGAAGCGCCAGGGGACTGGGGGTGGGGACAGCCGGCATTCGCCCCTCACACTGCCAGGGGACTGGGCACCGTGGACGCCCCCACGAGTCCCTCTCTGCTTGGACTGACATGCAGAGTGATGCCCCAGTCCACACCCTGACCCGAGAAAGGCCTCCCTGGGGTCGGACCTTCCCTTCCACTCCTGCTCAGCGCGGCCCCTCCCACTGGCCTCCCACGTCCGTCCGTCCGACAAACCGGTTCTCAGTGAGACCCACGGAGCGCAGGGGGCGCCGCCGAATGCCCCCGGCCGACACCGGGTGGGGGGGGCCTTGGGGAGCGTGGCCGGACTTCAGACGGAGACGGAGGGAACACACCAGCGCGTGGTCTGCGGGAGGGGCTCCCCCAGCCCGGGGGGAGGGGAACCGCCCGCTCACGTTCCTCTCCCGGAGGGAGAACGTTCTAGACCTCGGACAGGCTGCAGGTGACTTCACCTGCAGGTCGCTGGCGGGACCCCGGGAGGCGCCCTCGGCTGGGCCCCCCCCGTCCACAGAGGACTGAGTGTTTCCCGCCCACAAGCGAGCCCGCAGATCGGGAAGGCGGGAACCCAGACTCACCTGTCTGTTAGAGGTGCTCTCCGCGCTTCCTCTGGGGGCTGGGGGGGAGACAAAGGAGGTGTTGAAGGGGGACCACTCTTCCTTCCCTGGAAGGTTCGGGACGGTCTGGGGGGGGGGACCTGCACCCCGTGGGAAGACCCCCCCACAGCAGACCTGCCTCCCGGAGGAAGACGGGGGGGGGGGCACGGACACCGCACCCCGGGCCACGCCAGTCTCGCCGGGAACGCCTCCCGACTGGACCAGTGCTCGCACTCTCCTTGGGGGCGGGGTTCACTTCACTGCACACTCCACAGGCCGGCCGGCCCCCCAGGGCGCGGGCTGGTCTTCCCGAGCTTCTCGGGCGCCCCCAGGAGGGGGCTCGGCCCGGGGGTCCGGGAACCAGGCCCCGGGCACAGCGCTGCTTCCTCCAAACCCCATCCGGTTTTCTGTTAAATCTCGAGACGCCAACACGTGCGGCTGCCAGCAGCTTCTCCCCGGGAAACGGGAGCTCAGGGCGCACGGGAGACGCAGGGTGCTCCTGCGGGGGCTGCACCCGTGGCCCCGGGGGGCGGAGGGGGAGGGGCAGATGGGCCAGGACGGCAGCCCTCTCCCGGGGCGGCTCGTCCCCCTCCCCAGGGCACTGCTGCCGTCCACCCTACACCCCCCACCCCACCCCACACACACACACACTGCGGCCGGGGCCCCCCCCACCCCTGCTCTCTGAGGCCCTGGGACGGCCTTCTGCCCTCCTGGGCTCCTCCCCTGCCAGCAGACGCGGCCTCTCCCCTCCCACTCCCCCCTCCCCCACCCCACCCCCTCGCTCTGGCTCTCCACTGCGGGGCTTCAACTACGCACTTCCCGACGGCCCCCGATGTCCACACCCCAGGTCTCCCCAGTGACCTCTGACCCTCCACCGGCCTTCCTGGCCAACCCCTCGACGACCTCCACTTCGGAGCAGAGGCCCTCCACGGGGTCAGGGCTCTGGACTCCCACACTCCACGGGCCTGTCCACCGGCCACCAGCCCGGGCCCAGCCCTCCGGGGCCTGGGCTCTGGCTCTGGGCCCCGCCGTCCCCCCCGCCAGACACTCCCTCAGCGCCTCCTTGGACTCCTGGCGGAAGGGCCACCGCGTGAGGTGCCCGCCCCGCCCCGTCGGACTCCCAGCGCTCGGCCCCGCCCCCGCACGTGCCACCGGCACGCCGGTCGGCGCTGCCTGCCGCCGCCCTCACAGGCCGACTCGAGGAGGAGGCAGGGTCGGCCCGTTTGCCGTCCTTTTGCCAGCTCCTAGAGCAGGGCGCCCTCCTCAGATGTACATGCTGTTTCCCACAAACAAACACCTTCTGAGCCAATCAGTTCACAGCGGGCAGAATGTCCACCCCAAATGCCTTAACTGTGGACCTCTGGCCACGGGACACAACACACGAGGGAAGCGTTGAACCACCTACTTTCAGAGCCCGTGCTCTCCCGCCGCGGCAGGGCAAGCGCGGCCCCGTGAAAGGGCGAGACGCAGAGGTACGGGGAACACTGCAAAGCCATTAAATGAACGGCGGGTGAGTGGACTGTTTCTTCAATTGCAGGCTTGGACGGTCCCAGCGTCGGGGTGATTGCAGCCACTTTGCTCTCTGTGGAACGACGCCGTCGTCGTCGTCGCTGAGAGTGCGGCCCGGGGCCCGGCTCCCCCTGACGGGCCGTTGGGGCCGTAACCCGCCTGCCCCCCCCCGCCCCCCCCCCCCGTGCCGGCCTGGCTGCTCCTCGGCCGCCGGGTTGTCCCGCGCCCCTTCCCCGGCCGGCTCGGCCGCCCTGGCCTGGGGGGGGCCGTGGGCTGACGGTCGTCCGGTGCCTGCACGCACACGGACGAGAGGCACACACTCCACGCACACGGACGGGAGGCACACACTCCACGCACACGGGACGGGAGGCGCACACTCCACGCACACGGGCGGGAGGCGCACACTCCACGCCCCACGCACACGGACGGGAGGCGCACACCCCAGGCACACGGACGGGAGGCGCACACTTCACACCCCACGCACACGGACGGGAGGCGCCCACTCCACACTCCACGCACACGGACGGGGGGCGCCCACTGCGGTGAGGGCCCCAGGGCACCATTTCGCCCCGGGGAAAACAGCGGCGGAATCCCGGCTCCACATGTGCAAGGGGCAGGGCGTGAGGCCGCCTCGCGTCCTGGGACAGAGCGCGTCATCGCGGTGACGCGAGGAAGTGGCCGTGGAGGGAGGACGCGGGAGAGGAAGGGCCGTCCCCAGGCCCCGGCCCCGGGCCGGGGGTGGGGGGGGTGTGCGGAGAGCCGGGCCGGGGGTCCGCAGGCGACACCACGCAGGCCGGCCGTCGGCCTGGGAGCGGCTGGGGTGCGAGAGGGCTGCTGCCCGGCCGCCGCCCGCCCTGTGGCGGTCGCCCTGGGGGCCAGCAGGGCGCGATGTGGTCCTTCCTGGCGCTTCTCTTCTCTGGCTTGGTCATTCCTCACCAGTTTTTAGCCACTTTTCTTTCATTTTTTTTGTAACCACGAAAGTTCTGATGAAACTTTCCAATAACTTATCTTTGTTGCAACAACTTAAATGAAAATCTTGTGTGACTGCTTAACATACATGTGATTAGAAATGTGTATGCGACGCCATGCACACGTGAAAGCCGCCGCACACGGACGTGCACGTCTGTGGAGCAGGAACACGTTCTGGAAGAGCGTGGACGCAGGTCCGATCGTGTCTGAGAACGAGGAGCGCGTCCTGCGTCCCGGACGGAGGCGGGCCCGCAGGGGGCAGACGCCGCGGGGGCGGGAGGGGCCGGCGAGAATCCGTGGGGAAGTCCCGGCCGACCCCCCCTGAACATCTGGGTTTTCCTGGCTCTTCACTGACTCAGATCACATGGGAGAAGAAAAAACTACTGATAACCAAACTGAAAAAAAAAAGTAGGAAAAAACTTACAGAAGTTTGCAGGGAAAGTAAAAGGGTTCCAGGCCCAAGGCTCATCTTTGACAAAGTAACCACTGTTAACAGGTTCTGGCTCGTCTGGCGGAGGGGGTCGGGGGTGGGAGTCACAGACGATTTCCTCAGGTCCCGACAGGAGAGCAGCGCTCAGGCCCGCCCGGTCCCTCGTGGGGACCTGAAAGAGGTGACGCGCTCCCGCGGGGACCAGCGTTTCCCGTGAGTGACCGTCGCGGCCACAGAGACCTGCTGCCCCTGCCCCCACGCTGGGAGCGGATGGCCCACCCCAGCCCCACGCGGGGCACGTGCCAGAGGGAACTCGCTCCTCTGTGGCCCCTGGAGAAGCAGCGTGACCCCGGGAGACAGCCGGTGGCGCCTGGCTCAGCCACAGGGACTCACGGGACGGTCCCCGCCACCGTCAGAGCCCCGTGTCACCTCCAAACGCACGGCGCAGGCAGCACCGGCCCAGCATCCCCTCCTGGCCTCTCCCCCCCGGGGAAGGTCCCCGTCACGGCGGGGCCCCGAGCCTGACCCCATCAGAGAGCAGAGGGGCAGCCCCTGCCGGACAGAGGTGCCCAGCTGCCCTCCCGCCGGCAGGCGGCACGGCCACCCCACTCAGAGGCGAGGGGGCGGCCCCACCCTCGCCCTTGGCCTCCAGGCCAGACGTGTGGAGGACGACGCGGGGCGCAGAGGCTCCCCACACCTGTCCTCACGGCACAGCGAGCCGCTGCCCCAGCAGACTTGTCACCGGGGACGAGCACAGACGCCCACGGCTACACACACCCGGTCCGGAGCCCGGTCCGTGGCTCCGTGTGGAGTGACCGCGAGGACAGGTACGGGGACACGGGGGCAACGACGAGCCAGCACAGGCTGCCCTTGGGGGGGGCCCCCAGCCTGGGCCGGCTGCGTGGTCCCCGCCCCAGAGCTGAGCCGCCGACACGGGACCGACAAGGGGGCCCCGGGAGGCCCGGCAGAACCTGCTCACACACGTCACCTTGCCCGGGTGTGTGACTGCGGCGGACGCCAGAGGGACAGGTGAGGGGGCGGGGAGGGGGGACCCCAGCACACAACCCCCACCCCCGGTGCCGGCTCCTGGTCACGACGGGAGAGCAGGAGCCCTGTCCCCGCGCAGAGCGGCCCTGCCGGCCGCCCCAGCAGCCAGCTAGCAGGCCGGGCTTCCCACAGGCCCTGGGGGGAGGGGGGGGGCCACCAACCAGAGGGTTCCCTCGGCGACGGCTGGCTCCCGGGGCCAGGCCCACCGAAAACACACCCTCGGTGGTGAGAGGAAGTGCGCACACGCGTCCCCCAGCAGGGAGACGGGACACCATGTGCACACGGGAGGGGTCTCACTGCTCGTAAGGGGGCTGGCGCCTCGGGCTGCGGCCACGCGCGGGGCCGGCCGGCCGTGGCCGATGGTTCCAGGGCGGGGCCGCCAACACAGAGGCCGCCACCTCTGGACCGGCGGCCAGTGCAGTGGGAGCAATGACAGACTCGTCCTCAGCCCCACCCCCGTCACCCCTTGTCACCCCTGTCACCCCCCGTCACCCCCCGTCACCCCCCGTCACCCCCCGTCACCCCGTCCCTCCTGCCCGGGGCCCCAGGGTCTCGCCCCACTCTGTGGACAGGCAGCCCGCCGGTGCCCAGGCCCCTCCACCTTGGACCTCAGGACGACCTTGGACTCGGGGGCGGCCACAGTCAGGCCTGCGGCCGGGCGCGGGGCAGGGGACGGACTCACTGTGCCGCCTCCTGCCGCCGCCGCCGGCCTTGGCCTCGTCCCGCGCCACGCCCAGGCAGCCGGTCAGCTCCTGCAGGGACAGGGCCTTGTCGTTGCTCACGTCGCAGTACTCCACGAACTTCTTCACGCACTTCTTGGGCTTGGACTTCTTCCGGAGGAGCCTCTTGAAGGGCTTGATCTCCTTCTTGCCGATGTCCCCGCTGGAGTTCTTGTCCAGGAGCCTGAAGTACCAGTGGACCACCCTCTCCTCCAGCGTGTGGCTGGGGTCGGGCTCGGAGACCCTGGAAAGACAGTGGTGGTCGGGGGTCCGCCCGCGGGAGGCCGCCCTGGGCGCCCCAGAAGGCCCCGGGGCCGGAGCCCGCCTGGACTCGCCACTCGAGGTGACGTGTATCTAAAAACAACTCGGAGAGAGGGTTCAGCACAAAGTGTTCAAGCTGGTTTCCAGGCCGCAGGCGGCACTGGCCCCGCACGTGCCAGCGGTGCCCTCGGGCCGCCCGGTGCTGGGGGACGGCAGCGGCCTCGTCCGGGTTCTGGGTGGCGTGGCCTCGGCGGCCAGCTCGCACGTGAGGACCCCCGCCACCCTGGGGACCCCCGGGTCTCCCCTCCCTCACACGTGGGCCACGTGTCACAGGGACGACGGCAGGTGCAAGTGAAACACGTCTTGAAGCGGCGACGAGACGCCTTCCCCCCAATCAGAAAGAATCTCTGTTCTACAAGAGCCTGGGTTTGAGTCGGGTCTGAGAACCACCCCGAGTGTTACAGCCTCGTCCCCACGGAGGAGGTGAGGGGCCACGAAAAGCCTGCCACCTCCCCTCGGGCAGCTGGGCTCCGCACTCTGCCGGCCGGGGGGCCCTGGGCGCCCCTTGCCGAAAAGAGGGGGACCTGGGTGCCCCCATGGGAGCGGCTCCCAGGCGCAGCTGAGTGTCCCCAGGCGCGCGGGCCGGTCCGGCCTCAGCTGCGCCCGGGAGCCTCTTTCCGAGTCGGTGCAAGAATCCACGTGGGACCTCGGAGACCCCCGCACCTGGGACAGTGTAACCCCCTGTCCTGTCACGACAGTCTCCGCGGTCACTGCCTTTCTGCTTCCTTGGCTCTTGGGCAGAGAGATGGGGGGGGGGGGCTGGTAGCGGGGGAGAGGACCGAAGACGCGAGGGTCTCCTTCAGAAAACGGCCCCTCGCCCTGGCCGTCGGGGGCAGGAGACGGACAGACGGATGTCTCTGGGGACACGAGAAGCCCGCCCCCGCGGGCCTCCCGGGCCCTGGGTGGGAACGAGTCCCGTCCCAGAGCCGGGCCCCGAGCGGGGTCGGGTCTCGAACCACCGCACACGGTTAAGGCGGTAGTTCCGCGCCACACCTGGGGTGTCCCACCAGAGACACGCCTGGGGAACTCAGAGCGGAACGCTGTCGCACGTGGGGTGTAAGGCCCAGCCCACCGCTCGGAAGCGCCGTCCCGACGCGTCACGCCGTCGACCGAGGGCCCGTCCGCCCCGCCTGCAGGGGACCCAGGGAGCCCGGTGTCCCCGACGGGACGGCGTCTCCGGTGGTTTGGTCACGTGACAAAAACCCACCGCGGGGCCACCCGCAAGCCCGGGAGGTTCCTTCCCTTTGGGGACGGGCCCCTGCCCCGCCCACCGTGTGGTGCCCAGGGCGGCCCACGGGGCCTCGGACAGCGAGGGCCCAGAGCGGGACGCACGGGCTCCCCGGGTCTCCTCCGGTCACGGCGGCGTCTCCCCAGCCCCTCGCTCTGCGGCCCGGTGCCACCTACCTGCCGGAGGAGGAGGGGTCGGAGACGGCGTGGACCATGTCGGTGGACAGCGCGTCCAGGACACTCGTCAGAAACTCATTCTTTTTGGCGCCGGGGCAGCCTGAGGAGAACAGAGCAGAGCATGCACGGCTGTCGGAGCCCACGGGACCCCCACGGCGCGGCCGGTGTCGCCGCCGTGGTGGAGACACCTGGGAACAGTGAGCTCGCTGGACGCCGTCAGGAGGCACGCTGGCGCGGGTCTCCCGGGCGCCTTCCACGCCCGCCCCCCAGGTACGCGGCAGCTGCCGGAGGAGGTGCCCCTCCGGGCCGGGTTCCACGTCCCCAACACACTCATCAGAGAGCCACTGAGGCCGCTCTGGGGGGAGAGCCGGGAGGGACAGGGCTCCGACCCCCCGAGGAGCAGGTGACGGGCACGGAGAGCCCGACGCCACCACCAGGGCCGCGTCGCTGCAGAACAAGCACGACTCCCGCCCGCTGTCCCCGTGGGCGGGAGTGGAGGACCAGAGCCTTCCCGTGTGTGTGCGTGTGTGTGTGTGTGTGTGTGTGTGTGTCGCGGCCGAGGGTCTGGCGCCCCGGGGGCTCCCCGTGGCCGCCCCGCGCTCCGGCTCTCAGAGGGGCGGCGGCCCTCGTCAGGACAGCTGGGTCCCCGAGGACGCGGCGGAGCGCTGCGCCTCGTCAAAGACGACACGCGTGCGTCATGAGCCGGACCACCTGCAGACCAGGCGTGTGTCTGGGAGCGTTAGGACCCTGGCGCTGAAGGAGTCACACCGGCCGGGCTCCCCGTCGACGTGGGCTCCCCGGACACCGACGCGGGAGCAGCGGCCCGGGCTCTGGGGCCACGCAGCCAGGGGCAGGCCTGGCCGGGCCCAGGGCGGTCGGCCGGGCTCCAGGGTTCAGCGGGGTCTCGGGAACGCCCCCTGCAGGCACGGTCCCGCCAACCCCATGCCTCGCGGCCCAGCCCCACACGCGGTCCAGCAGAGGCCAACCCGGCCGGGCGCTTTTCCCTTTCCCTTTAGTAACAGACGTGACCTAAGGGAGGCTCTCCATCCACACAGAGACGTCCGTCTTCCCAGACCCCCACGCCACCGTTTCTCACGCCCGACTCTCGCTGCACACACGGCCTCTCCTATCTCCCTGTCCTTCTCTCTCTCGAGGACTTTAGGAGACACAACCCCGGGCTGAAGGAGGGGACAGGCTGCCTGCTCACTGTAAGGCCACAGCCCGTGAACATCCACTCACCGCTGCCCCGAGAGCCCGCTGCCCCGAGAGCCCGCTGCCACTCTAGTGCGACGCAGACCACACTCCACGGCCCCGAGGGCCTGGGGTGGGCACAGTCACTGAGCTCTCACCGTGCCCGAAGCGAGCGTGTCCAGTGTGTCCCGCATGTCCCGACAGCGCTGCTGCTGCTTCCCAGCGGCTCCCCGGCAGGACTCCCTGCGGTGTTACCGGGAACCACTCGGGGTCGGCGCGGTGCCGGTGCGGGAGAGCCCATGGCCCTGTACAGTGCCCGCAGCCTCAGCGGCCCCCCAGGCTGCCCTGGGTGACCTCTGCTCACGTCCTTCCCGCCGTCCTCGGTGGGGCCTGACCTCCCGCACGAAGAAACCCGGCCTGGAACAGGCACTAGGGGTGTCCCCAGAGGGGGACCGACAGCCACAGCGCAGCCTTGCTGACCAGGAACCAGAGGAAACGGGAGGCAGGGCTCATCGCCGGGGACGACCCACGACCCCCCGGCCGGGGAGCCTCACGTGAGCCAGATGCCGGGCTCTCGCCACCCACGTCACCTGACGGCTCAGCACGGCGACGCCGCGGCACAAGCGAAACCCCAACAAACAGCGCAGACACTTCCCGGAGAAAACGGCCCCGTGGGCGCAGGGCTGCCCGGCCGACTAAGGCGGCGGCCCCTCCAGAGTCCGGGGGGCCCCCGGGCGCCCGAGGAGAACGGGAGCTGCGCCATCTCTGCCGTGCCACCTTACAGGGTGACAAGAGGCGGGGGTGACCCCTTGGGGAAGGCGATGCCCAGCCCTGCACCAGGCGACCACCAGCACCGTCCGCTCAGCCCAGCGGGAGGTGGGGCGCGGAGCGGGCCTCTGCCGGAGCGGCCGCGTTGAAGAACACCTGCCGACTGTGACCGACCCCAGCAGAGGTGAACTAACGCGCAGACCGGGAGATGAGGTAATGGGACGTGTCCGCCTGGGGGCCCGGGGAGTGGAAGCAGCCCCCCCGCCCCGCCCGGGCAGCCCCCAGGGGCCGGGCCCGCGGGAGCGGCAGGTCTGGCCAGTCTGGGGGGGACCCAGCCGACCCGACCCGCTCCCATCTGGCTGCTGTGCATCGCGGCGCGCGGCTCCGGAGCCGGAGCCGGTCGACTCGGCCGACAGCCGACGAAGGAGACGAGAGGCCGGGGCCCGAGCTGAACAAAGGAAACTCCGTCCTGAACGTCGGAGCGGGGACCCCTCCGGGGCGGGAAGCCCGGCTGTGCGACGGCGTGGCTCCGAGCCGTCCATCTGTCCGCCCGAACCTGCAGGGGAGGGCGGGCCGCACGCGACGTGACCGCGGGGGGAGCCCCTTTCCCTCGAAGCAAGTTCTGGTTTGCCTCCTCCCGTCACCGCCACCCTTTGCCGACGCTGTTGGTCAGGGATGGGACGACGGTGCATGGGACGCACAGACGTGCAGCGCGCTGACCCCTCCCCCGGGTGCCCAGGGGCCGGCGGCCTCTGCCTCGTGTCTGAGGCACCGGGGGCGCTGGCGTCGCTGCTGTGACAGCCGACTCGCCCCCTCCCGGCCAGCAGGTCGGGCCGGGCCTCTTCACAGTGCTCTCTGCAGCCCCCGAGGCCTGGCCTGCAGGGCGCAGGGGGCCCCTCCCTAGACGTGTGCACTCCCCTTGGGTGGCACGCCTGACACCCAAGCAAGTCAGCAAGGACATGGCTCTGCGTTTCTCAGTGTCGGCCAGCAGCTGCCCCCAGATGGACGACCACCAGCCTGGAGACGCAGAGTCCCCGCCGGCCCCGAGCGCGCTGGCTGGCCCCCGCCGGGGAGGGGCTCCACGGTACTCCCACAGTGGGCAGCGGGGGCGGGGGGGCTGCCGTCTGTCACCAGGACTCTGTCTCGTCACCGTGCCTCCTGTCAGCGTGATGACCGTCACCGTGACTTCACCGATGGCTGCAAAGCCCGACGGAACATCGGTGAGCTCGTTCAGGCGTGCGTGTGACGCCAGCCACCGCAGCTCGAGCCGGCTGTGGCGCGGTTCTGGGTCGTTCTGGGTCGTCCCAGGCCTGGGACACCCAGGCCATTCTCGCGGCCTGACCAAGGCCACAGACAGGCACCCCCCGAGGGCGGTCCGCGCGCCGAGCACATGCCGGGTCCGCCACCCAGGGACACGCTAGGGGACACGCTGCCCGCCGGCGCTGAGCCCTGGCTCCGAGGCGGGAGACCTCACCAGCTGACGGAGGCAGGGCTCGTGGGACAGGCGGCCCAAGCTGCCGGCACCTGCCAGCACCCGCCGGCCCCCGCCTGCCCGGGCTCAGGCGCCGCCCCCACACGACGCGGCCCGGGAAGCAGGGGGGGCGGGTGCCGGGGAAGGCTCGGGTGTCGCGGCAACCCTTCCGGTGCGTCGCAAACACGCGTGGGCTTCTTGGCGGAAGAGGCCGCCCCCAGGACACCCTCCCGTGAGCGTGCTGTTGACAGCTGTGAGACTAACCCCGCGGCCCCCGTGCACCGTCCCACAGACCTCTGTCCGCAGTGACACTCGCCCGGCGGACGGAGCCCGGGGTCCACGGAGCCAGGCCCCTTCCAGAGGAGCGTGGGGCCGGGCTCCTGGGCCGGCTCCCTCTCCGGGAGCAGGAACAGTGGGCGCGCAGGCTTGGAAGTCACGCCGCGGCGCGTCCCGCGTGGGGGGCAGCGCCCCCGCCCCTGAAACGCTGGATCGGAGACCGGCGGCTCCTCCAACTGGGCCGCCGCCCCCAGCCGGCGCCCCTGCCTGCCAGCAGGCCCCACGGGGATGGGCAGCAGCCTCCTCCAGGGGACTGACTGCGGGGGACACGGCCACAGGGGCTCTTCCCTGCCCCTAACCTGCAGGAAGTGTAGGCGGTCCCTGCTTCCAGTGTATTCCCGCCCCACCCCCCCCCCCCGCGCCGGCCAGCCCACTCACCCTGCAGCTGGCGGCCCCGGTAGAGATCCCGCGCCTTGGCCGGGTGGGCCCTGGCCGTGTGGTCACATTTCGGCTGCTTGTACCTGGGGGGGTGGGGGGGACGGAGGGGAGAAGAGAGAGGTCAGTGGAGTCAAGGCTTGAAAGGGTGGTTTCGTCCATCTCTTGCCCGGCCACGGGGCAGGGCCCCTCCTGGGCCCTGGGCGACCTTTGCGACCCTGCACGCGGTGGGCGTCTCTTCCCCGTCAGCAGGGGGGGCACACGGCAGGGCCACACTGGTTCGTTCCAAATTTGGGCTGGAGTCCTGGCCCCGAGGCTGACGTGGAGACGTCCATCTGAGGGGCAGCGTTCTCTCCTCGGGGAGATTCGGCGACCGTCCCGTCCCGGGCAGACCCGCCGCATCAGGACCTGCAGTGAGGGCCCCGGACCCCGCGCGGAGTCACCCGCCGCTGCTCTCCGTGCGAGGGAAGCGCGAGCACCCGCTGTCCGGGTGCCCACCAGACGGCAAGCCGCTGCCAGAGGAAGGCGGGGTCCTGCCCCCGGGTCACGTGCCCTGCAGGACAGGGAGCTTGGCAGCCAGGAGGCCGGGCAGCCCGGCGCAGGGGGACGGTGAACAGTCTGATGGCGGACGGACGGGCCCCCCGCCCGTCCAGGACAGGGCAAGGGAAGTCCCCCCGCACTGGGCGCCAGTGCAGCCGCTGGCAGCCAGCCCAGCCCACGCACAACCCTAGAGCCGGGCCCAGTGCAGCCACCACCAGCGCGGCCAGGAAGGGACCGCCCGGCCCCCAGCTCCCACTGCACCGTGCCCGGTGTGGGCGCCCACGGGTGCCCGGTGCTGCCGCAGCCCAGCTGTAAGCCACGGCCACGGGGTCAGCCTGACCCAAACCAGCAGGGGAGCTGGGGGGTCAGGGGGTCAGGGCCGGCCCGCCTCCAGTTTCTCTCCCGAAGAGGGACCCCGTGCCGGGGGCGCCGCTCTCTGCCCCCCAGGCGAACGGCGCTGGTTCCAGTCCTTGGCACAGGCCGACCACAGAACTCGTCGGTTTCAATTATCTTGTTGGAGACAGGAGGAAAAGGAGCTGGCTCACGGTGATGATGCATTTCATGTCTGTGGCTAATTACGGGCATTTGATTTTTTAATTATATTTCCCCACTGGAAAATGTAAAATAAAGGACAATCAGGGAAAACAAAACCTTGAACTTCTACCCAAATCTAAACCAAAACTGCACAGTCTCTCCCCGGACCTGCTTCCCCGAGGAAACCCCGGGGAACGGCACTTCGGTGACAGCAGGTGTTCCGACGGCGGCGGGGACTCCGGGGCGCCTGCCTCTGCGCCCTGCAGTCACAGCAGAGCCCGCCTCGGCCGGCGCGTGAGGCGCTGGCGCTGGCGCTGGCTCGGCCAATCAGACAGCCTGAAGGTCGACATCTGAGTTCCCAACATCCTCACATCCCTAGAGTCCAATTTAAACCAATTCCAGGTTTCTTTCCCGTGATGGATTTAGCTACTTTTTATAATCCAATTGTGGCCAATAATCCATGAATGAAATCTGCTCAAGGGGCTTTTTGGAAAGGCTTTTGGCTCCTAAGCAAGGGAGAGAGGGGCCGTGTGTCCTCTGAACACTGTGGTATCTGGATGAGATGCCTGGTTCTCTGCAGCCATCTTGTGACCATGAGGGAAGTCTGTCCAAGGGCATGAAGTTGTCAGAGTGGAGGTTTGGGGGACTGTCCTCGGTGAAATCTCACCGAATCACGTTATCCCCCGAAAAGGAGCCTCCTCCACCCCTGACCTCTGACACGAGGTCATCTGCTCCCTCGTTATTTATGTCCGAGGGGCAGGCATGAATACAGACAGTTATATCTGAAGTCCTTGTCCACACAGAGGTGCTGGCCCCATGCGGACGGCCCTCACTCACTCCATCCGGATGGCCTGTCACAGTTGTCTACCCATTGGCTCCTGGTCAGGGGGCGACATTCTGACCAACTAGATGAGGGATGTCCACTGAGGGCCGAGGGCCAGTGGGGGAAGCGCTCCTTCCGGTCAGAAGGAGGCACGACCTTTGCTGTCATGGCGGCAGAGGATGCAGAGGCCACAGGGCGAGCCGGTGAGTGGAAAATGGCCGAGCAGAGAGCACCACACAGAAGTACGCCCTTGAACTTGAGCGGCTGAAACAGTCTGACCCTCCGTGTCCCCTGAGCCGTGTCGGCGGGCGCACGTCGAGGCTGGTGAGGTGTGGGGGCTCTGCCGCTGTGGAAGCAGCCCCGCCGGGACCCCTGCTTGCGCCCCAACGCCCCCAGCGGGGGGCCCAGCCCCCAGAGGGGTGGACGCATCTGCAGCTCAGGGCTCCTTCCTCGGTCCCCGGAGCCGGGCGCTGCCGACCGCCAGCATCCGCGACAACAAATGAGCAACTGGATGAACGACCGAGTGAGTGAGTGAGTGAGTGAGGTCAAGACCCAGCGGGAGCCCCAGGGGTCTCCTCCTGATGTAACGCTGTTCCAGGAATTCCGAGAAGAGAGCGGGCTCTGCTCTGTTCTGCAGGCAGCCTGGCGCTGGTCTCCCTGGCGGAGCCGCCATCGGTCCGGGCAGAGAGTCAGGACGGGGGGAGGGGAGGCGGTGACTGTGCCCCTTGTCCGATCAGATGCGGAGCGGGTTCTGGCGGGGAGCTCCTAGATGCCGATCTCATCACTTCGGGGCCGCTTGGAGGAGTTCTGGTTTTGACAGCTTCAGGGTTTTTGTTGGCCGGGGCTGGGGAGCCGTCTGCCAGCGGCGCCTCCCCCGCCAGAGGTGCGGCCGGGGCCGGCAGCCAGCGCCCCGGTGTCCCGAGTGGGCAGAGCCCCCCTTCCCAAGGAGGGCTCCTCAGAGGGCGTGTGCACCGGGGCAGGAGAAAAGATCTCATCCAAACTGCTGAAGAGGTGTCCCTCTGAACGCCCGGTGGTCACTCGCAAGCAGCAGTGGGGGCCCTTCAGGGGCCCCCGGCTGCTCGGGCCGGGGCCCCCGGGCAAAACCAGGGCCCAGGCCCACAACCTGGGAGGCACCGTCGTATGCCTGTAAGCCAGTTGCACACGGATCGGTGAAAACCCGGAGGTCGGCTCATGTAGCAGGAGGCCGCAGACACACTCAACCTCACGGGGACAGCACTCACTTCCGCGAACAAAGCCCGTGCCCGTCGGGGGCCGGGAGGACCGGCTCTGCCCACGCCCTGCAGCCCCGAGGGGGTGCCGGTGCCCGGGGGCCGGGCTTTCCCTTCCGCGTGGACCCTGCAGGGTGCACGCACCCTGTGTCACAGACAGCCACGAGGGGCGGTCGGCTCCCCCCGCTTGTGCAGTGCCGGCGACTCTGCCGCCACCGACACGTGGCACACTCCCCGAGCCACCGTGGCCCGGAGAGCAGAGCCGGCTCCGCGCGCCCAGCCCACACCAAACAGCAGACCCTCCCGCGAGGGCCGGACGTGCCGTCACCACACGGTCGGCGCCCGGGGGCCTTCAGAGGGGCGGGCACCTCTCGTTTCCACGGCCAAGGCCAGATGTCTGCAGACACGCAGCCCAGAGACGTGGGGGCGAGGCGGGGGGTGGTGGGAGCTGCAGGCTCTGCCCTCCTGAACCCCACCCCCGCCCCCCGCCTCGCCGGCCCCGAGCGGGCCCTTACCTGGTGGAGGTGCCGGGGATGGGGCGGCCGGTGTCCACCAGCACGCACCAGCAGTAGCCCGTGGACGGGTGGCACTGTACCGGCTTGTAGAGGCCGCCGTGCGCGCACTCGGGGACCACCACGTTGTCGTTCTTGGGCTGCCGGGCCTCCTCCAGGGCCGACTGCTGCTCCTGGTCACACGAGGACGCTGGGGAGGAGGACGCAGGCGTGAGCACGCAGCCCGGTCACGGGAGCCCGTCCCGGGGAGGTGGGACCGGACAGGGCACGGCTGGGGCGGCGGGAGGGCAGCTGGGCGGGTCAGGAGCCCCGGGCGCCTGCCGCCTCTTCCCGGTCATCCACTGGGGACACGCGTGTGCCCCCCCACACACACACGGCAGGCCCCTCCGCCGACACGCTGAGGACATGACTAACTGTGAACAGCTGAAGACACACGTGTGTGCAGAAGAAACTCTAAACTCAGAGCCTGGACGACGAGAGCAAACGAAGACGAATGTGAGTCGAAGCCCCGCAGGACGCAGGAACCCGTGGGGCCTCTCGGGCCCCCTGGCCCCGGACCTTGGCCTCCGAGGCCGGCCTCTGTCCCTCGGGGGTGGACGAGCAAGCGGAAGCTAAGTCACGTGGGCCCCGGCCGGTGTGTCGGGGGCTGATCTCAGAGCCCGTCCCGGGGTCACTTAAAGCTCGCAGCTGGCGCCTGGTGCGGGCCGCCACCCCTCCAGGAAGCCCTCGGGCCCGTCACGGAGCCGCCGGCCCTCGCTCGGCCTGCAGAGGACCTCGCGGGCCCGCCCAGCCAGGTGGGCGCTCCCGTGGGGGGCACAGAGGTGCCTCCAGCCGACCTTGAGGCTCTCGTTGCCCAGGCCAGATTGCTTTTTGGTCTGAAAGTTAAGAACTTGAAGTAACCAAGTTCTGACTCTCAAACAGGCCAGCGAGGGCTGAGCATTTGGTTTTCATCAACGGTGACGCCCTGCCGATCTGCGCCCTGGACAGCAGACTCCGGACGAAGGGCCTCCCTGCGTCGTCAGCCCTGGGCCGGGGGCCCAGCGGGAGGACCCCGTGTGGAACCTGCCCCCCGGTTCGCCTCGCACCCACTGTCGGCACCGCTGCTGAGTTCCTGGGGGCGTCGCTGCCCACGAGTTCTCGCAGTTCGTACTGACGGCTCCCCGTGAGTTCGGGACTCTGGAGCACGCTCCCACGGCAGGGGGGCCTGCCAGACAGCGTCACGCCGGCCCGGCGGCCTCAGAGGACGGTCCGGAGGAGCCCACGGAACAGGACACGAGAGGGCTGGGAAGGAGAGACAGTGCCCCACAAACGTGCAGGACTGTCCGAGCTGCTAGAAGTCACACCTGGTAACCCTGCCAGACGTTGTCATGACACTGTGGCCTCAAAGCAAACGTTTCAGCCCCAGCAAACCCACCGTGTTTAGGAAAAGAAAACGTCGGTGTCCACGTTTACGAAGGTGAGCTGCTCCGTTAACCAAATGGCAAAACCCTCAGAAACCCGGGAAGGGAAGACAACCGCTGGGTTTCAAAGAGCAAATGAAGCCAAAAACCTACAGCTAACATCAAACTTACTAATACAACCATGGCTGCTTCCACTCCGGGATCGAGAATAACCTCACCAATTCTACTTCCTATCACATCACAGGTCCCAGGCGGCGCAAAGAGAAAGTTAAAAAAGACAAAGATCTGAAACACAAAAATGTAAAACTGTCCTTAATCACACACACGATAAGATTGTTTATTTTTTAAAAAATGCTAAAGCATCTACAAAGAAGCTGCAAGAATTAATAAGCAACTGTAACAAAGTCTCAAGACATAACGTTAATAAGCAAAAATGGCTCGTGTCTGTACACTAGCAGAAACAATGGAAAGATAGAATGGTTAAATGTCATTTGCAATACCAAAAAAATGGAATTCTTAGGATTAAATTGATGAAAATACGTGTAAGACACCGTAAACAAACAAACAAACAAACAAACAAACAAACAAACACAGCTGAGAAAAATGCAAGGAAACCGTCAACAAAGCAAACAGGCACCAGTGGAACAGACAGCCCCAGCAAGCAGCGCCCCCCGCCCCCAACGAGGGGCTGGCTTCCGAAACTCGGAAACAGCCGCAGGACCCGGCAGCAACGCCAAACAGCCCAGTGGACCGGGGCAGGGGGCGGGGCAGACCCTGTTCCCCAGGAGCCGCGCGGAGGGCCAACAAGTGCTCACGCAGACGCAGGCGCTGCAGCCGGGCACCCACGGGGAGGCTCCACGCCGCAGGAGGGAGCGCGGCCGCCGGCAATGAGACGGGGGTGCGTGGTGCAGGGGCGGGGGAGGGGCCGCCCGCACTGCCGTGGGGGCCCAGGTGGAGCAGCCCCCATGGGAACAGAAGGTGTTCTCCCCCCCACACACACACACTGAGACTGGACGGCCCTAGGGCCCAGCAGCCGCTCCTCTGGGCGTGCACCCGCACAACTCAAGGACGCCCACCCCTGAGAACGCACGCGCCCCTGTGCGCACCGCAGCGTCACCCGTCACCCGCAGTGAGAACAGGTGCGGGCACCTCCGTCGGCGGGTGCGACCCCTGCTCACGCCCGGGGCGCCCAGGCGCCCTCGTGGTCCCCTGTCAGACGCCGAGTCGGGGCGAGCCCTGGGCCTCCAGGCCGCTCGTGCTGAGTGCCCACGGGCACGGGGGTGGGGAGCACGCCACCCTCCAACGTCTGCTCTGTGGCTGCGGGGTCCCCCGCTGTCCCGGCTGACGGGCCCTGAAAGTCCAGCCGCCCCGTGAAGGCCGCCCCGGGAGGGCTCTGAGGTTTGAATGGGACTCACGTGCGGAAACATTCAGGGATAAAACAACGGTTTGTCCCACAGGCTCCCACTCACAGAGGGCAGGAGGCTGGCCACTGAGAACTCGGCGGGGGGCTGCAACTGCACGCTCGTCACGTCAGAGCTGGGCTGCCGGGAGCTCCGAGGCTGCGGCCCCGTCCTCACCCTGCAGACGCGGGGACGACGCCAGAGGGAGCGGGGTCCCCGGCCGGCCGCCGGGCCCCGCGGGCCAGGAGCGTGCGTTTCCGACAGGTTCCCAGATGGTGGTGACGCCCGCGTTTCTGTCCGTCCCAGGTTTCATTCAACATATGGGTTTTTTATTTTTTCTCCGAATTGATTACTTAGTTTTTACACACACTGTCTTCATCAGTCACGGAACTTTTTGCGGTTTCCTCTGTAATTGGGCAACATTCAGACGATCAAAAGCAAAACAAGGAAAATCAGAAGGAGGCCATTTAGGATCTGATTTTCTAGAAATGGCAGATTGGGGGGGGGGCCTAGAAATCATGGTTCCAGGGGACCTAATTGCTCGCAGGTCCACGGTCAGCGAGGGGCCCAGCGGCCCCGTGCGGCCGCAGCTCCGCCTGGGAGGGGCCCGGGCTGACCGGCTGTGTCGCCGAGTTCACAGAAGACGGCGGTTCGTTTCTGAACACACTTTGTAGCCTGGGCCTGTCACCGCAGCGGCACAGGCACTGAGGCCGGGAGCAGAGAAGCCCGCCTGTCCCCTTCGGTCCCAGTGAAAAGGGAGTGGCATGGGTGTGACCGGGGGGCAGGCGGAGGCCCCCCGGGCTGCAGAGCGGGGGCAGGCTGGGCGAGGAGCCCCCCTCCCACCAGAGAGGCGGAGCCACCGTGGAACCGGCGCGCCAGGCTCCGGGAGCCCTGGGAACGTGGTGCCCAAACACTACAGGAAGCTCAAGGTCAGACCTGCTTCCAACGGTGGTCAAGGTCTGGATTCGAGTCCTGAGCTAGCACCTCTGAGAGGACGGGAAGGACCTCGGGGTCCACTCTGAGGTGCCTGTCCCGGACGCGTCCCCACGGCAGCCGGCCCCGCCCGAGGGGAGCCGCAGCCCGAGAGGCTGTTTCCGACGGACGGACCCTGGGTCCTGGACCCGAGGGCCGGGGGGCAGGGCGCCATCAGCCAGGGGGAGGCGGGCACCCCACGGAGCGCCCTCTCCCGCCCTGACCCTCCCTGCGGCCTCCGTGCCCCGGCCGGCCCACGGGCCGTCTCTGCGGAGAGCCCACCTGAAGTTCTCTGCCCAGAGCCTTTCCTCAACGACGACCGCACCGCCATCGCTCTCGGAAACCTGAGACCAAGTCACCCCACGTCCCCCGCGTCCCCTTCTTTCCTCCGCCTCCATATGGAGCCCCACCGCCCACGGTGCTCCCCAGACCCCGCCGCTGCCCGCCCACCCCACAGTCACTGTCCCCAGCCCCTCCCCCATCAGGTCCTCGCAGCTCCCGGGCAGCAACCCGCGTGCAGACCCGCCCGGCCACCCCCCGTGACACCTCCCGGGACGCGTCCACGCCGGGACGGCCCCTCGGCCGCCCCCCACCCCCGAGGGCAACGTGCGCGGAAACGTCAGGGGTCGCCGAGGCGCGGCACCAGACGTGTTTGTCCCCGTGGTGCTCTGCAGGGTTAGGAGGCTGCTGCTATTTTTAAACGGTTGGGAAAACAGTCTGATTTTGCACTGGGACGCCGTACAAGAGGGGCCAGAATGTCCCCCGCTCCCCAGAAAAGCCCCACGTGGAGGCCGGCAGCAGACCGGCCGCGGCCACGTCCCCCTCCCGCCTGACGGCCCTCCGAGCCAGCCCTCGGGGCGGCCCCGTCCCCCCGTGTCCCCGTGTCCCCGGCATGTGGACGACGCAGAGACTGATGCGTGTTTTTAAAAACGGGGGGACAAAGAATAAAACAAAACCAGCATCCTGACACAAATGACGGGCGTTGGGGAACCACTGGGCCCACTGGCCGCCCAGGGCCCCAGGCCGCCGTCGCCCGGCAACAGCCCGCGGTCTCTGTCCGCACGTCAGATGCGAGAGCCGCCGCCTGCGTGGTCATGGAGACGCAGACAAAATGAGACCCAGGGCACTGTCACCGGGCCGTGTCACCCCCTCCGCCACAGGGTGTGAGACCCAGGACAGGCAGACCCAGACAGCGGGTGACGCCACTTCAGGACGAGAGGGTGCCCCCCGGAAGACCCTGAGCCCTCAGAGCCAGGAGGAGGGGCCCCCCAAACACCCGCCATCGTGCCCCGAAGCACCGCCCACGTCCATCTCGCTGCCCAGGTGGCCCCGCGGAGCCCAGCGGGTGGCAGGGTGCCGGGTGGACTCTTGCAGCCCAGCCCTCGGTGCACAAGGTGTAGCTCGGTCCTGGGGTGGGG